CGCACCGTGCAGCTTGCCCAAGGAAAGGTGATCTCAGTTATAGGCTCTTGGTTGTATCCGCATTGTAGTACAAAAAGAAGTGAATCTATGGGGTAAGGTAAACAGTAAGGCTGGGGGAGGGGGGGGGGGAGGGTTGACATGTTTCCTGGCCCACAGACAACGCATGGGTATTACGGAACCCATAGCTATTTGAACATATCCTTGCCCTGTAATCATGCAGTGTACGAGCACTGGTCCTGTGTGGTCGGATACAATCCGCCTTGCCTGCCCGCGCCTGCTTGGTGCTGTAACAGCAACAAGAAGCACCTAGTACTGTGTTCCTTGGCTATCTATTGGCAGTGGTGGCACCAAGCGTGTACAAAAAAGGATCAGAGAGCACTGAGCTTGTTCTCAGTCACTGCACTGGGTCATGAAGGGTAGTAAGATGAGGAATAGAGTCATAGGAATATCTTCACACACGCACAAAAATGATGAGTAAATCATGAAAAGGTACAAACTCATAAAATTATACTGTAAAATAAGTTAGAAAACACTCTCTTGAAGACAAGCCTATGACAAATATTCCACACCAAATCAACAATATGTTTGTTTTTTAACAGGGGTTGTGAGTGAAAGTGAACATTGGCATCACTACAACCAAGAACGACTAGGGTAAGTTTTAAGGCGTAACTCAACATTTCAGTTTCACAGTAGGATAGGGAACATTGTTTGGCTGTTGTAGTCACAATCGGTTGCCCCCACCACTCCCCTCCCCTCCCCTTCACTTTTGAGCCGCACAATGACAAAAGGGTGCTTATGGCAAACATTTCACAAACTGAGCTATGGATACAGCGCAATGGCTGAATTCTCACTGCTTCTGCTGCACACAAAAAAACGCATACAAAAAGCTTGATAAATCGCAACGAAAACTAATCGAATTCAAAAAGAAAATATGTACTCTCAATATTGCATACTCAACTTTCGAACGAGTTTTTCTCAGTTTGATGTCGTGTGCCATAAGCACCCTTTTATTGTGGCGCGGATCATTTCTGTTGTGTGAAAGGTCGCAAGTCAGCCGACTATTTCCCAGTAAAAAAAACTCCATATAGCCCCTTATACAGTACAGATATAGGATGCACGGCATAACCTCTTTAAAGCAGGGGCTGTGCTGTGATGAAGAGCCCGGTTTCGTGGACCTTTCTCATAAACTACATGTGGCCATACTGGCAACTCCTTGAATCCGGATATCACTCCTCTGCACAGAGAACGTAGTCAACTTTATATAGTCTCGCCTTGCACTGTCTTTGCTCTCTGTTTGTCGAGCATCTTCACTCGTAGTATTCTGGTAGATTTTTTGTGTCCATCACAGTACATGTACCGTTCTGGACATTGAAATCCGGTGGATTGACCGGTGCTCGCACCCTTAGTGCATACACACACCGACAATCTGTAGTTCACGTACGCACTTCAAAATTGGACCAGCAGTGTCCTGAAAGCATAGTGTATGTTCACCGTTTGCGCACTCACACCTGCAAGGCAAACGCCCTGTGATCGCTGGACTTCTAACCGAATTTCAATGTAAACAACAGCTCACTGCCTTCAGCTGCTTCCATAAGAAATGCCCAGAAGTTGACCTGTCTCACATTATAATTATTATGGATATTGCACGGCCCCAAACCCTTAAGTAGGTCAGCAACACATTGCCAATACAAAATGAAGGAATAGTTGCCCTGGCATATTAGACAGTAGGGCCACAAGACATAATGTACTGTTATGGTCATGGAAATCCGGTCGCACGTCTAGCGGCCCCAGGGCGCTGGCCATACAGCCGTGGATAAGCGGTACACACAAGCATGTATGCGCTGCAGCGCGCTGGTCGCATCTGATTAACATTATCACGTGATTGTGCACTGCACGCACGTAGCGTTCAGTACGCGCTGAGGGCGGCGGCCACGGTCAATCGACCGGATTTCCATGTCCACGACAGCATCAGGGACACTGTGATTATCAGTAGACTGGAATGTTGCGACCAGCAAATCATAGTTGGCGGGCCTCGCAAAGTCAGCATCCTTTTTGCTGTCAGATTTGATAGAAAACAGAGGCCAGGAAAACTCACTTCGTGGTCGGTATCTTGGTCGAGTAAAATCCGTGGGGTTCAATGGCACCTGCACGGATTTTTTCAGCTCCACCGACGACGATGTGTTGGTGCGGAAGAACTTCGTTACTTGATCTTGGTACATGTATGCAGCTGGTTCAACACGTGGCTAGGCAGCCGCGTGCATGCGTGCATATTATTCACCGTGATGTACATGAGAACACCAACACGTGTGCGTTCTGGACCACGCGCCTTCTTCCTGAAGCAAACCAGCACGGAGAGAAAGGGCAGAGTGATTGAAAAGGTGACGACCATAGCTAACGCATTTCCAATAAGACACTGGCTACAGTGCTACACGACGGAAAACCACACGTTCCCAATGTATAATTATTGTATAGATGTCGGCTTTGCGAACGCTAGCCGGTAATGGGAGAAAACAGTTTTCAGAGGTCTTAGCTCACAGTCAGTACACTTCCCTTCAAAAATCAGAGTACCGCAGTTTGTAGTTTGCCAATAAATACCGCACCACAAGGTAAGTCTCTTACCTTTTCCTCGCGATAATCAAAATCCAAAGTGAACGGCCCTGAACGGCCGATGATAGAAAGCGGGGAGAAGACCACCCCCGGCTTTGCTATCTCCAAAGAATTTTAGCGTTTTGGAATTGACGCAAAGGAATGGCTTCGAGCAACTACTGGGGGGGGGGGGGGGACGCTAGCCTAAACGTGAAGAGGAGATACAAAACAACACTTCTTCCTTCTTCTTCCACCAGGAAAAGACGAAGAAAGGCGACGCCGCAGCTAGCGCAGTGCGGACTGTTTGAAGCATGCGCACTGAGGGCACAGACACCCCGCACCAAGCGCTGATTGGTTGATGGCTCGTCACAGCGAGGACGGAAGAGCAGTGACGTGTAGTCTACCCCGCGGTGCGAGAAAACAATTACTACTACAATGTACTGTCATGCTATGGATATTGAAAAAATTGAAGTCCAGTTGATGTTCGGTCATGATGGAAGCAGAGGTGGAGCTACAGGAGAGATGAGCTGATTACTCACAGGTTGAGAGTGACATCGGTTGGACGAGTATGACAATTACGAAGGCAGTTGAACATGATAATTTTCAAAGGTAGCTCAAACTAATTTGGCAATGAAATTTTTTTAGAAAAGAAGTCAACTAGTGAATAGAAGAAGTAATGTTTTCTCTTTTCCATGTTGATCTCTAGCATGCATTGACACCTTGGTATGGGGATACTCACACCAACACCTTCTACGCATACCAACACCTTCTACCAACCTACACTTCTACCCGAAGGGTGTACCCCTTCCCACCTGTATCGACCCGCACCTAACCTTCACCATTAACTTAGATACATACATGTATTTCCCACCTTCACCTTCTCACCTCACCTATCTCACCACCATGCATGCACTTTCAGCATGCTTTTTCCAGCGTGTACGCATCATTTCATGTCAAGTCATGTGCCATGTACATATGTGTCGGTCAAACATGCAAATCGGCTATAGTGATGCACCGGATATAGTGATACATTTTCGAAAATCAAAGGGGCACGTTATATCCGATATTTACTGTAATTACGAAGGCAGTTGAACATGATAATTTTCAAAGGTAGCTCAAACTAATTTGGCGATGAAATATTTTTAGAAAAGAAGTCAACTAGTGAATAGAAGAAGTAATGTTTTCTCTTTTCCATGTTGATCTCTAGCATGCATTCACACCTTGGTATGGGGATACTCATGTATTTTGTTGTACTTATGGCTACTTGCAAGTACGAAAAAGGCACAATTTTCCAAACTTTGAGGCTCCATAAGTACAACAAAGTGAATATGTATCCCCGCGTGCCAAAGCATAATAGGATTTTGCGGGCATAATGCGAGAATCCATGAAAGCATAATTCCATGATTTCGCGAACATAATCCGTCGGAGCCTACTCCAGGGCCTCGTCACCACATGCTCTCATTCCTTTATGAAAAAAATGGTTCCGTGTCTGGCTATTTGCCCTACCCAATGCAAATACATGTACATTGTATTTCCAGCGTTTGACTGCTGCATCAAAGCTCATCGTGACCCCATCCCCCTGCAATGTGTAGGTTTCCTTACTTGCTAGACTGATTTTATATGATTCTGGACTGATTTGAATCATATTATCTTCCTTATTGGCCATGGGCCATCCTGGAAATAAAGAATAATAATAATAAAGCTGGTGGATGTAATGTTATCTGTAGCAACTGCAAGGTGTGCAGCTGGTGTTCGCATCGCTGTCTGGCTGCAAAATATGTTACAGAAGTCGGCAAGATTCGAACCAGGAATACTCGCTTATGGCCAGCGATGCTACATTTGCGTCAGACTGCCAAACTCACGTTTGAAAGTGGCTTCCTGCGGATCCACACAGAATGGTGGGACGTATACCGCACTCTATGGCCACTGCACCTTTATTGCATTGTAGAGATAAGCAGCCTACCAGTACGCATTCCTGTTGTGGCAAGGACGGTCCATAATGACTGTGGTCTATCGGCCTGGCGCTGTCCATTCACTGTTGCTGGTCCATGGACACCCATTACTGCGGGACAGACGGTGGAACATCTGCTCGAAGCATTCTAAGAAGCAGGTTTCTGAATGGCTCAGTCTGCTTTTTCAACCACCGTAAGTCACACTGGTAGCACATGAGCCGGCTGCACATTTGAAATGGCATCCAACACAACAGCACGAAGTGCATGGTGAAGGTCGCCAGTCAATCAGGCACATCTCGAGATACCATTCAATGGCATACCCGCTTAAAAACATAGTATGCTGCACATTCGATGATATCTTCGGTGCTCTGCGAATTATTTCTTCATGCTAGTACCCCAGACTGGAACAAAGTTGTTGTAGAAGTTTATTTAACGTCGCACCACAAACAGGCGATTTCGCCTCCTTTGATACATGTGGACGAAGTCTCCAGCGCTGTAAAGGGTTGCTGCTACGCTATTCCAACCAACGGCGCCAGAGAGCATGGTGAGGAGAGTTAACCACAGTCTTGCTCATTATACTTACTCCCATGATCAGGCTTGAGCCAATGGAGAGCGACTGGCATTACTAGAATACTGATATCTCTGAGAGGTCTGGATTCAGGCAGAGACGAACTGCGGGAAAGCGTTAGCACAGCAGCACTGGACCACCATGTCGCCCAAGAAACTAGGTACGTTTCTCTGAAGTGGGCCGAAAATCGAAGCATAGCTTTCTATAAGCATACTTCGGTCGGACTAGAGTTTCCTCAATACCTGTGATGTTCCAGGGTGGTGATACATTTAGGCCATGTGAATACAGCACCATAAAGCTTAGCTTGGTTGACTATGGACGAAAGTCGTTGTGGAAGGTATAAACCTGTCAGCTGGTCTTTCGTTTGAACTTTCGGTAACAAATTACTAACAATATTCTTGTGTGCTATTGTACTCTTCCAATCTCATTTATGTAGCTGCGGCGGAATGCATGTTGATGATGCTGACATTGTTCACCTCATTTCATTCCACACTGAATTTGGTCCAAGATAGACCTCGCTGTGCAGCCATTGGTCGCATCAAGGCGACTTTTGTCGCTGATCGGGGCGACGGAGTGCTGCGTTACGCCTCATGGACGGGGTTCAACGCGACTTCTCGAATCCGACTGGAAGCTGGAAGGAGCCTGTACGCACGGTTTGACTTCCCGGCCGAGTGCAATATCACCGTGACGGAAATAACCGTTTCGTCCCCTGGATCCTGCAACTATAGTCTCTACGCACTGGAGGATAACGAGAATGGGTTTGATCGCGTGTATCCTGTTGTTCACACGCGAGAAAGAGTTACGGTCAGTGCGAATGATGTCAGCGGTGTTGCAGACGTGCACACATTTGATCTACTCCGCTTTTCACTGTCATCGTTGCTGGCGTTTCAGCTAAACGTAGCTGTGAGCAGCACTTCCAACTACTCCTGCGATATCCCCGTCACTTACAGGGGAGAGCCGTACATCTCCGTGCTTTCACAAGGTGAGCTGGAGGCCGGATTAGCGCCAATCTAACAATACAACTGCATGTACGTGCACCTGTCTATGTACTTACCACACCAGAGTAAAAGCCCAGCGTTCCTTGGTGTGCCTCTTACATGTATGTACTGCCGTACTGCTCATCATAGCGGATTCATAGGCATTGAGCACTCTAGCAGGTTAAAGCGCATTGCTTCTGTGATCCCTGCGATCGCAACCGAAACTAACGCGAACATCATTTCAGGAAACACACTACAATGAATCTACAATTTCTCCTGCTCTCGTTCTGCAGACATCGACGAATGCAGTATGGCCCGCAATCCTTGTTCATCACCAAGCACAGCGTCTGTAGACCATATTGAGCAGTGTAGAAATACTTACGGGTCGTTCACGTGCAACTGTTCCAATGGATACGCAAGCGGTGGAAAGACCTGCATAGGAGGTGAGTACTGCTCAGCTACGTTATGCAATGTCTAGATCCAAGATGAACCTTTGCTTGCCATGGCGTCGGTATAGACTTGTTTCACATATTTGTCTGGCCACTAAATTCGTGTGGAAAATGATCATGGCATTGTGGATAGAGGAACCAATGTAGCCGACATCACGTGACCAATAGGTACAACCAATATGGCTGGCCCGTAGCGTTATGTGATAGATGTGAAAACCACTCAATACCGTTCTGTATTATTGTACCAACTTAATCCTGAGCCACCAGGTCCAGGAACTGCAGACTTGGTCTGTCCCATACCGTGACATGGGGTATGTAATGGTTATCCCTTGACCTGGTATTCTACCTGCATTGGGTGTACCATTCATCACTGCTCATGTTTAGACAGAATCACAGTGGCAAAAACATCTGTTCCATACTTCCGTTGCTCCCATTTCACTCGCATTTATTTTTATTCGTTATCTTCAATACCTTCTCAGGGATCAGTCCCACAAGAAGGCTCTGAAACGTTCAAGATTTTAATTTAATTGAAAATGCCGTGGTATTTGACTACTTGTCGATGGTGCACTTCTTTCCCATTTCATCGCAATCCTTTACTTCCCGTCAGGCGCAATATGATTATGTGTTGTGAATCTGTACTGTCCTGCACTCTAGAACCGGCTGAAGGCAGTCGCACAAGTGATACAATTGTAACGCCATTTGTAACCCACATAATGCGTCATAGCAAGGGCCAAACTGTCACAGGTAAGCGGCTTACTCACTTTCCTTGTTTTAATAGGGACTAAGTCTCCAAAAGCTTCACACCAAGCCCTCATAATACTACAAGAGCGCTGTAAGAGTTGAGGTAAGTCTCTGTGCCTTGGTGGTGGCAGTCAATTATTGTTTCTTCAAACGTTTCCCGTTTGCATCTTTCCTTCAAACCAATGAAACTTCTCTGTACATTTCTTTTAAAATACTGGTGGGCCCGTTTCTTCGAAATGTAGTGGGAAGTGACAGAACTCTGAAGCTAATGCCTGGCTGTATAATTATACGATGTAGGTGCATGTGCTTCCCGTGAGCTGAATGGTCCTAATGATATAAATTGTATTGGAAAACGATCATAATAATAGGCGATCTTTGCACAATAACTTTGTATTTAACTGTTGCAACATTGTGTTTGCTGTAGAGCCAGCTATCAGCAGAAACCCAATGCCAACATCTGAGACCCGAGTAGGCAGAGTAGGTACATCTTCCAGGGTAACTGCAGTAACATCCTCTACCCCACAACATGAGAGCCACGCAGAGAGCAGCAGCAGCCGGACACCAGAGCTCAGCAATACGCGTACACTGCACCAAACACCTGAGGATAGCACGCCAAGTACTTCCTCCCACAGAACTGGAGATGGCCATGATCACATGCGCACTGAAGCAACGCCAATACCATCACATGGCGGTACAAGCCTGGAGGATGAAGGCCAGAGTTCAGTCTTGACAACTGCCATCTCCAAATCTACCTCCGGTGTAGGGTCCCAGGGTAATCCCAGCATCACGCGCACATTACGTCAAACGACTGAGATTCGCAAGCCAAGTAATACTATGATCACAGCTTCCTCTAATAGAATCGGAGATGGCCATGCTAAAATTCGCACCGACGCAACACCAAGACCACCACATCCCAATACAAGCCTGGAGGATGAAGGCCAGACTTCGGTCGTGACAACCGCCGTCTTGAAAGCTGCCTCCAGCACCAGTGTAGGGTCTCAGGAGCCATACATACCATCATCCACTTTGGGAGATACCGCTGTGGCTGGAATTGCGATTGGCACTGTGATAGCCTTGGCGTTGATTGGCCTTCTTATCCTCCAGATCATGCGAATGCGAAAGCCATATTCCAACTCCTCGCCTCTTCGAAACAGATCAGCAGTGAGAACAGATGGCCGCGGCATTACAGTGCCATCAGCACACGGAGCAAACACAGCAGCCCACCTGTCCTTCATAAGTATGAGCGCCTCAACAGCACGCCAGAGTAATGTCTACACTGAGACCGAAATGGAGCTGTCGCATTTGAACCGAAGCCCATCGCCTCGGTACTATGAAGAGTGCTTAGCTGTATCGTTGCCATCACACTACGACGTGCCCAAGGCTGCCTGTGCTGTTGCGCATTGCTCCGATTCTATTGTGGATGTTCAGGCCAGATACAGCCGTGTCAGTCATTACGATGTTCCCAAAGCTTCCCAGCAGCTGGAATCTCCAGGAAGCACACTGCCGGGAAACACCTATTCAGTTCCCAAGACTATCTCTGACTCTTCGCTATGTCCAGGTCCCAATGATGTGTAGATATTGCGCGACTATCTCCGACACTGCGTTACATTCAGGTGCTAATGTTGTGTAGATATCACACGACAATCTCCGACACTACGTTTTATTCAGGTCCTAATGTTGTGTAGATATCACACGACAATCTCTGACACTACGTTATATTCAGGTGCTAATGTTGTGTATATATCACGAGATTGCCTCTGTCACTACGTTACATTCAGGTTCCAATATTGTGCATATACCATACAACTATTTTCGATACTACGTAACGTTCGTTACATTCAGGTCAAAATATCACAGGACACATTCAGGACACTTTGTGATATCTAGGCTTTCATGCTGTGTGGACATGGCAGGTGGACATCGCAGTTCCCTGGTTACTGTTCACCGCACAGTGTTTGCACTTTGTGCATGTATGTTGGCTCTTTGCTGTGAACAGTTGTTTCATGCCGTTGTTCATTAATAGATTGAGATTCTGAGGCCAGGAGTCTTGCCCAGTGTAGATTTCCGGGAGAATATTCTTTCGAAGTAGATATTTTCCTGCTCCTCCAATAAACATTGCAATCCGTCATTACGAACTCCTCCTAGATTAGAACGTTCACGGAAGGAAGGGAAACGAATGGTGTTGATGACGTCATGGCCTTCCATGGAATGATACATCATTTTTTCTTCTTCCAGTTCATCTTAAAAGTAGATGAACGCACTGTAGTTAGCGAAGAACTGCATGAATTATTCATCCGATTCATTCACCTTCGACTGACAATGTACACTGCAAACACCAATGCCGCAATGGAGGCGAATCATGGTAGTCATTCCGTCAATATGTGTCAGAAAACAAGTAGTTACTTCGAAATAGGCAACTCCTACTCCTGAAGTACTGGTCATCAGTTGGGGGCAAAGAAAAAATAAAATATTTAAAGAGTATTTACGGTCAAAACCAGCACTGGAGTACGGGGATTCCGCCGTAGGCCAGCGATGCTCTACCACTGAGAAATGGTACGAAATGATTGCTTATTATTAACACGTTATACAGTGTTTAAGTTGGCTGTGCCGTACCAGTAGGGATGTAGCCTTGTCCTATACACTAGAACTCAGACATGTGGTGCATGACCAGGCCGTGGCATCGGGGTGTAGGCTAAAATCGGTCACACAGACTAAGGTGCAGGAAAGTCTCGGTGGACATCATGCAGATATCCCACTGCACGGGTTAATACCACTGGCCTATCAGTGTACAGTGAACACAGAGCTACATGTAACTACATGTGTGCAGGTCCACTTGTTACATTTACACGTGTTCGAATGTATTACAACAAGACGTGCCATCTCAGACCGTAGGTAGAATAAAATTGCACCCCAAGATATCTGTTGCACACTCTTGTATAACAAGCACATGCATATTCATTATTCTCTTGATGCCAGTTAGCTACCACCATAACGTGCAACGGGTCATAGCATGTTTGAGAGAGTTGGCACGGTCCAGTGGTGGAGCAGATGGCCCTGAATTCGACAGTGGCACTGTGCTATCTGGAAGCAACTACATGTACAAATTATATATTATCTCTCTACAACGTGTCCTCTACACAAAACAGCTTGGCGTCAACGACAGCTCTGAATTCGTAGCACATCCAAGACTGGGTACATGTACCTCACAGACTCAGTAAATCATGTTTGAAGCACGCACTATTATTATTATTCTCGTATCCGTTCCCAAGGGGAACTCACAACAATGGAGTGAAAAACATAAACAAAAATAAAAACATGGTGATGTGGAGATTATAGTGTTGCATCCATTGAGTACAAAATAATACAGATACAATCAGTGCTTCGGATGCCTGTAGACCCTGATATAGTAGTGAGCACAAGCACCGTCCACACACGTAAGACAGTCCATAATTATGTTCATATGATGGCCGAGCAGATGTTGCCCCATCTCGTTCGATCGGCCGCAAAGTCCCGGAGCGCGTCTAGGTGTCGATTCATCTCCAGTTCAACTGCAGTTAGCTTGCAGTCTCGCTGAAGGGTGGTTACCAGGCAGGACCTAGGTGCTCCCTTCCTGTGTTTAGTTGTTTCCTCTGCAGTTAGGTATGCCATCATTGCTTGGTTCCCTGGTGTGCCGATTGGTTGGCGTGGAATGTGCTCGAGTAACCGCCATCTAGCTCGCTTCGCAATTCCAGATATTGGCTCGGTGTTGGTGAGCTTATACAGATCGTTGTTTGTGATGATTTTCGGATAAAGGATGCCAAGCATGTGACGAAGCTGCTTTCGATGGCACTAGCTGCGGTAGAATTCAAGGCGATATGATTCCATATTTGGACAAAATCTTTGTAACACCTGACTTCTCCATCTGTGGAAGACGACCGAAGACAGAAGTACAGGTCAAGCAGCTGTCGGATTCCGTCCTGAAATCACTTTAGCTGTGTGAAAAGAGGAAGGTACACTCTGACTTTGTGCCAGCTCGTACTTCCAAAATGTGAGTGTGTGAACATGTCGTGCATGCCGCGAATCATGGTCGCGTTGCTTGCCGATTGAATATTGGTCAACCACATAGTACCTAGGTGAATTGCACGCGACGTGGTAAAAATAAACTTCCTGCTTTGGCTTGTGCACCGTTATTTACCGAAATAATGAATGATATGAGTCCTGTAGGACGCTTCATTTTGTTGCACATTTGCATGTTGTTGATGACGAACGAAGTCTATCTTTTCAACTTTAGTAAAGCTAAGTTTTACATCTTTCAGGCTTCACAACTGTGTGGAGATCAAGAAAAGCTGAGAAGAGGACGAACGCAAACACGGTGAGGTAAGAATACACCTGGAGTGCTGTTTACGATCTAGAAGGTCACTCACACTCACATGCATGATGACTTTCAAGTACATGTACGAGTATTGGGCTAACGCATTCCTGTGAAAGCGAAAGAGATAGCATGCCGAAATAGCCCACGGTGCGCAGCTAAGTAAGACCATACTATCGATTCAGCGAGGTTCAACGGAATTGACTGGTTCCAAAGTATCGAGTCTAAGGAAACCCATGCTATCAATTCAGCGAGGTTCAGCGGAATTTACTGGTTCCAAGGCGTTGAGTCTAAGGAAACCCATACTATCAATTTCGGGAGGTTTCTTCCTACTTGATCCCCAGAGCCACTTTCAGTGACCAAGTGGCTTTGGCATTGCGTTTGATATGTTGTCTCACTTAGGTCTGAACATGTTGTTGATCAAACACGTTATTCCCACACTACTGCTTGTGAGCGGCTGGAATGTCACAAGAGGTTTTACGCAAACCTCACCTTGCACTGCAACAGGTCGTCGATCATTTCCACTGTCCAGTGATGATGGCACATTACGATATTCGTCAGTAACTAGTACCTCACTAATGCCAAGAACTGCATTAGTTCCTTCAGTGGCATACAATGTGACTTTCGATTATCCACCACAATGTTACATGGTAATCAAGGAGATTAAAATCGAGTCACAAGGCACCTGTATTTTCCTGATAGAGTCGAGTGAACGGACTGACTCAAAATCACCTTGGACGCAATGGAATCCTACCCATCATACCGCAAGCAAGGAATCATATAGGTCTGGTGGATTGGTAGTAGATCGAGTTAAGTTGATAATCTCTGTCCAAATCCTCAAGCACCAGTTAAATCTTCGCTTTCACATTGGATCTGTATCTTGTAAAGTGGCACTTAATGGTAATGAGCCCTACATTACTGTGATATCAGAAGGTAAGTGAACAAACATTCATAATGCAGTCTCATAATGCTGACGCAGGAAACTTTAAGTAGCAGCAAACAAGCCTTGATTGCCCTTTTTGTTCAGTAAAAAAAGAAGAAAAAATCACTTTTCCCGTGACACTCGGCTACAAGCCGAGTTTTCCGCATCCATAGGAACGCCACCACCCTCTAGTATCAAGGCGCTGATGCAGCTCCTGGTTGTTCTGTAGTGCAGTCTTATATACATTTTATCACATGGCACATGATTGTTGCCTGTACTCCAGCGAATCAGCACCTTTCCCGCGCGGCAATAATATTGCCCGCAAAAAATAGTTTACTTGCCCGAAAAAATTAGTTCATTTCAGCGATTGCGCGAATACAACTCTGTAGACTGTAGATCTACGACTCTCTACCACAAGTCGCAGTGTGTAGCATCGAGACGAAGATGGAATTCTTTTTGGAGATGGACGTCCCGGCAATGGACATGGCCTCCGACTTCTGCCGTGTGGTGCTTGCAGGGATCATTTGTCCAGTCATGTTGGCAGCCTGGCCGTCGGTAAGCTTGTGGATAGGATTCAGTTCTGCTCGATGTGATATTGTGATCACAAACAATTATTTGAAATAACACAAATTCAACTCAGAATCGTGCGTTTTCAGATCCTTGCAAAGTCACTGCGTGTGGTCTTCCTATACCACGCGAAACTCTTACCCGGATCAGCTGTCCTCGAGCGGCCTCTGCCTTCACCTTTGCTTGAACAACAAACACAACAATTCAGGAGTGTTTTGCAATGAAAAATACAGCTATTTTTAGCTGAAAAAAGAAGAAAAATTGTGCTCCGAATTACACACCAGGTAGTCGTCAAATACTTGCATTGCTGTATTTGACGACTTACTGATACACATGTAAACATGTAGAAACTCTTTGTGGTAGCACTCTTAATTTTTCGACTGACGTTATGATTCTGCTGTGTTTTATAGTGGTTGTCATGTCTATTGCTATGACGATGCCGTGCCGGCACTTTTTTCTGTCTCCGTCTTTCAGTACTGTATACTCTCTGATGGCCTGTAGAAGACTTTTTATTAGGGTGTAGGAGAAATATCTTCATTTTTCAAATTTGATCATGATACCACATCAATATACATGTACATGTACATTGTGGTGATAATGTGCTGGCATTTAGGCTAGTTTCAACAGCAGCCCAATGGTCTGCTCTGTGGGCCATGTGATAAATTTGTTATCGAATGGTAGCTGCGGGCCTTATGGCATATTATTGCCCCTGGAGGTTAACCCTCGGCCCTCGGCCTAACCTCTCGGGCAATAATATGCCATAAGGCCCTCGCAACCATGTGTTGAATTCGAAACAGGACGACTGACGACATATTATCCAGACATTACAACGGGAACAGGTAGGTTGGGGGAACGACATTTATTATAGACGACGAGACAAGAGACCAAGACGAACGAAACGACTACATTGAAGAGTGAGAAAAGAGAGGAAGAGATCAAGTCTGAACGGCAAGATAACGGGTCTGGGTGGCTATGGCAAATATGGGCGCGCAAGTAGCTACCCAGGCCAACGGAACAAAAGGAGACAAAAGGTGAGTGTGTAAGTGCATGCAGGCCAGCTAGAAAAGGTACGGGAGGAGGTACCTAACATACCACCCCTCCATGAAAAAAATCCCGCGTCCTCGCGGAGAGAAAAAAAAGAGAGAAAAAGATTTTAAAAAATGACTGGAGGAGAAAAAACACACACACATATTGCACGCACGCACGGATCTCACGAAAGTGTTTACTAAAAATGCACTACAGATCATTCCTGTACTACTTATAGTGTGTAATAACTATTGGAGTTTGACGAG